ATCGTAGTGATCTGGTGTTGGAGGGTGTTCACGGGACATTGTTAGCAACTGTTAGTTCTTAAGCATACTACATGCATGAGTATACAAAATCAACAAACAAGCACCACAAACACACACCAAAGGTAGGCACATGAGGGGGGGGGTAGCATATATATATATATACACACACATACCAACATGCACGCATGTATGCATACAGACAGACACAGACACACACACACACACAGAGACAGACAGAGACAGACGGAGACAGACGGAGAAAGACAAAGACGGACAGAGACAGACAGAGGGACAGACAGACCGACAGATCTATAGCTATATACATACATGGACCATTAACTTTGCAAAAAAACATGTAAATGTATATACATGCACAGATACATGCACATATACATGTGGGTATGCATATACATATATCAACACATATACGTTTATACGCACGTTCATACATGCCTATAGAGAGACAGGCAGGCATACATACCTGAATATGCCAACACTCCCGGGAGCGATGCGTTCCTGTGTGTGTATATACACATACATGGGAGTTTCCGAACATTAGGGTACCTTACTTGGGGGTCCTTATAATAAGGATCCTACTATTTAGGGTACCATATTAGGGTCCCCTATTTTCGGAAACCCCCACATACAACCTCCCCTTCATCTGTGCAGACCAGAGAACCAGAGCAGGAGCTCCGCTCCTCCGGGCATTGGTCAGATTCACTTCCCCTCTCTTGCTCTCTTCCTCTCTCTTTCTCTTTATTCCAAACGGATACATATATCCATATATATATATATATTACTTGGACGTATGTATTTCAATTCTTTAACTGTTTCTACTGTATGTGGCAACAAATCCATATATATATATATATATGTGTGTGTGTAGACATGTATATGTATATACATATACATGTATATGAACAGCTTTGAGGAAATTTTGACGTAACTAGATGTGTGTCTGTATGTGTGTACATCTGTGTATATATATATATGTTTATTTACTTATTTACTTACTTATGTATGTGTATATACAAATGTTTCATACTATATTATACACGTCTGCACGCATGTGTTTGTATGTGTGTATGCATGCGTATATACACGTATATATATATATATATACATACGTACATACATACATAAATACATACATACATACATATATATATATATACACACACACACGAATACACGGTTTACGCACACCTATATGACCTGTATCTAACAAGGCGATTCGAGTGAGCTTCAGAAAAAGGTTATGGCACTGCACTGTCGGACCAAGTGGCGAGAATGGTGGCCTGAATGAAATAGGTAAACCACGCAGACTGCACCACGCACATCAGAGAACAAGAAAAGCCCAGGTTCGTGTCGAACGCCTCGGATTGCAGGAGCAGGACATTCGTACTCCTGCTGGTAGTGTTGTTTTGCTGTGCTGGTGTTGGTGGTCGTCCATGTGCTTGTTGTTGTTGTTGTTGGCTGCCACTTCTTCTGTCTGCTGGGGTTGATTGCTCTGAGTGGTGGTTGTGGTGGTGCTGGTGGTGCTGGTGGTGCTGGTGGTGGTGGTGGTGGTGGTGGTGGTGGTGGTGGTGGTGGTGGTTGGAGTGGGGGAACATGATGATGGACATGATGATGATGATGAACTTGATGACGGAAGTGGCGGCGGTGGCTGTGATGATGGTTCTGGTGATTATGGTGCTGGTGCTCGCGTGGCGTTGCTAGCTGGTGCCTGTAGTGGTGGCCGTCTTTGTTGCAGTCATTGTTGTTGCTCTCCTTGCTGTGCATGTACAGAGGGTGTGTTCACCAACTTCTGATCCCAGCTGCTGAAACCTGCTGCTCCCCCTCTTCGGTCTCAAAGCTCTGCGACTGCACGGTGTTCAACTTCGCAGTTTTCGCCGCCAGCATTGCCTGCTGAAGCAAGAGCCTGAAAGCCCTGAACCGACCGGTGCGGTCAATGCTGAAAGCTGTGCTCATTGTGGCACTGGTAGGGCCAAGGATAACGGCTCAGGTTGGCGGAGGAGTGGAGTTTCAGCACTCACCATGAAGGCCGTGGTCACACACACACACACACACGCGCGCACACACACACACACCCGTTAGACAGGAGTGGCATCACGAGAGGAGTAAACACCAATTTGGCCACCTCTTGCACACAACCACACAATCAACGTACTCCCGTCATGGTTGATGGGTGGACAACTGCAGACTAGCAAGGCCTCCTCTCCTGTTAAGCCGATCATCTGTGTGTGCTGAAACCACTCGCGCATCTATCCCATAAAGCTGGCAGGAAACTAAGAGCTTCCCATAGACTTCCTTGAAAATGCCTGGATTGCTAGCCCGTAACCAGAGCTACAGCACCAGCAGAACACACCCACAACACTTCACGCCACCATTTCCTCCCTGTAATCACCACCAATCTCAAGCACCATGCCTCTTGCTGAAGTCCCTAGTCGCTTAAGCCGCTCTGTTCGGGATGGCCTTCTTCTTGTGGCTCTGGAAATCCCCTGGCAAAGGATGGGCCGCTGATGTGGACCGAGCGGCCAAGGGGCTGGGCGCAAGACAAGCAAGACGACTAGAGCCTAGAGCAAAGATAGAGAAAACGAAGACTGCATGGACTGCAAGGAAACATGCCAGAAGTCCTCCAATGTCTTGTTCAACCAACATCCCTGAAAATGGCTGGAAGCCCTCAGGCCGTTCAGCAGCACGTGCCTTGCATGAAGGATGACCAGGATGCCACTCCAGCCGAGCCCGTAATATCGTTGTTGCTCCTTAGATCACTTCTGTTTTTGTCGGGGTCTCGGAGATTTGCGCTCATGAGGAACCCAAACACGACCTCGGAGGGTAGCGACACGTCGTCTGCAGAACTTAACTGCGGAACATGCAGAGACGCAGACGCAGGACCAACATTAGCTGTTCAGCCATCGCAATTCAGTTTGAAGGGCTCGCTTGGGTACGAAGCTCGGGTCGCGCAGGAGGCTTCCTACCGACTTATTCCGGATTTCGCCACTAAGCCGGCACGCCTTTACTATAGCAAAGGCGCGATGTGTGCGACATCATGCCGGAAGACTCCAGCCCCAACCTCGGACCGCTGCAGTCCGACTCGTGCTAAGTGGCAAGGGTGCCACTTCCGAAGCCTTAAGGGGACACTACAGTGGCGGAAGATCCTCACACGACACAGCCCTGAGGCATGAACGCACCTCCGAACCCCGGGGGCAATTCAGAGGCCAGGAGACAAAGCACCCGGACTTTCGGCTTCACTTGGACCCGGTGTCGGTGGTATCAAGAGGGCCTGGACCGAAGACGTCTCTGTAGTGTTGCGGCTTTCAGAGCCGGTGTTGTTACATTTCTCAGCTGAGGATTTCGAAATGGATACCACGTCGAGGAATGCATGTTTTCTGTGCCGGGACTTCGGGCTGCAGTTGTCTGCATGTCAGCTTCTCACTGCGAAGCCTATGCCCGAAAAGTGTACCGGAGTGAGTATGTGCGACTGTGCATGTTGAGCATCAGTGACGGGCGTAGTGTACTGAGACTAGTTCATGAAAGTGCGAGGCCAGCATCGAGAGGATGTGCACTCGCAACGAGAAGTTCGCAGATTTCGCAAGGAAACAGGCGACGGGGTTCAATCCAAGAAACCTGTTGCTGGTGCCGCCGGCTTGAGTATGCGGCCTTAAGTCCAGACTGAGCCTTGCATTCTTATGCGCCGTCTTGGCTTCGACATGAATTACTGCTATATAGTCTGTACCAGCTGAGCTATCTCAAGAAACTTGAACTTTGCCAGGCAGCGGAAACGTGCCCTATGGGAGCTGTTGTCAAATAATACGTAGTCTTTCCCCTGTGCTTTGCGCTTAGTTCTTCCCCGCGAGATTGCGTGTACCCCGATGTCCAGGGGTCTACAAATTAGAGATCAACCAAACAACTCAGGTCTGACGAAGAGAGTAAGCCGCAAAAAAAAACCAATGAACCACAAGACGCTACCAGTACTGGAGAATCTTTCCAATGCGAGAACCTACACTCCAGAAGCCTAGGCTTAACACGCAGGACAGGAAAAACCACTCCCAAAAGCGATCAGGGGATCGCCCCTGGCACCGAGCCTGTGATGTCACCGGAGGGGACGGTCCGACTGCCGTCCCGAGTTGCCTTTCGGGTATTGCGAAGGTCAAGTGCTTCGCGTCCAGACTCGTCTGGATGGCCTTGCGTCTTATGGTTCGCAGGACTTCAAAAACGGGCTTCAAACTCAGGCTTGGTAAGGTGGCAAACTTGCCTCGGCCCGGGCAGTCCGTGACATTGAACCCAATGGATTCATTGGATAGCATGTCGAATTTAGGACCTCTCGTAACACTGGCAACTCTGATATATGTCAGCTCTTCCACTATGTTTTGGCACCAGTGCCAACGAAACTATCCAGCTATCCTAGGGCTGAAATCGGGAACTATGATCCTTAAACGTATGAAGTGATCGGAATGCAACAGCGCCGCATGACCTACTTATGACAGATCATTAGCGTGATTCGCAATCGCTGCACATCCGATTCCTGATAAGCCCTAAACCCCAAAATCCAAACTCAGGCGGCGACTGTCACCTGCTGGGACAAGTCCTGCAAGGCCTGAGCATCTTCGCTGCGAGTGGAGGTCTGTGACACCGAAAACTCTAGAACATGAACCCCAAAAATCTCTAGCCGTGTTCTCAGGCCAAACCAACACGATGGCGATTCTACAGACTCCAAAACTGCAAGCAGACGGGACATTCTCGAATTCGACAACAACCAAAAACAACAAGAAGTAGCCACAGCCTTTCGCTGCGCCTGATGGCTTCGCACCAACATAATTGCCTAGATTACTTCTGGTAGAGGACATCCCGAACAAGGGTCTGAAAAAGTTGCAGGAGCCAGGTAACCTTCAAGTTCTTGGAAAAGTTGTCTTCGAGGTATCCGCGAAGACTGTCCTGCATTGAACCGTTGGAGATCTGAACATGTGCAGGATTTTGAGAACCGTTTCGAGGCAAGGTAGCGAAAACGGATCTAGCAACAGGCCTGTCTAAAGTTGGGCTTGGGCTTCATCTGGCTCTGTGCTTGTTTGCTTGTTTGTTTGGTTTGATTGTTTGTTTGTTTGTGTGTTCGTGTGCCTGCTTTGTTGCTGTTTTTTTGTGTGTGCGTGTGTGTGTGCACTTGTCAGTGTGTGCGTGTGTTTGTATGTACGTTAATATGTATGTTTGTCGATTCCTGTTTGTTCGGGCTTGTGAGTTCGCCTTCGCACTTGGGTTGCTGTGCATGCGAGTAGCAGATTCACTGAGGCTTTGGAGTGACCCGGACGACGGAGCTCCTCGCAGCGCTGATCCACGTCGACCTCACTGAGATCCTGGTCCTTCGGTGTTGAGTCAATCCCCGTGATGTTAATTCGGAGAGAAGAGAGGCTGGCATCCGATCAAGTTGACGAGGCCATTGGCTTCGTTGCACCCGATCAGGTTCGAACGTGAAGCCGAAGATCCGATCATCAATCTCCAAGCACATTGCACCATGCGCAGTTAGCGGATGTTCTTTCTTCGTAACTATACGACTTTCCAAGAGCCCAGGGTAGGAGCGTTGTCTTTGACATCTCCCAGGAAAAGCAAGTAACAAGGCAAAGCCTATTGTGCCTGGGGGATGACCCTTTCCAGCCCAGCAGGACCAAGCCCAATGAACGTAATAGTCAAGCCTGGATCCGGACCCTGAACCCTCAACCGTGTCCTTCATCTTGTTTGAAGTGCCAAAGTCCAGGGCATGCATACCGGCGCAAGGAAGCAGCTACAGTCAGCGCGAAACCCCCCGACTGGTATATTCGAGGTTGAAGCGTGGCCATAGCCCCATAGCAATCTGGATGCGATACACAGAACAGCAGCAACACCTAGCAGCAGCTGTAGTAGAAGACGTGGAAGTAAGAGCAATTAGCAATAGCGGCAGTAGCAGTAGTAGCAGTAGTAGCAGTCGCTGTAGCAGCAGCAGTAGCAGTAGC